GGCGAGCTGTGTTCTTCCCTTTACAAGCTTAAAAAATGCCTGTAGCTAATGAGATTGAATATAACGATCAAAAATAACAAAATATACACAGCTAGATCCGATGGCGTTCTTTTTAGATGCGACTTTAGAGTAGAGGGGAATTATTGAAACGGGATGTGTACAGTGTTCCGCGGCATCCGCTGCTGCGAAAATGTGGGGCAGGGCCGTAAAGTGGGGGGGCCAATGGGACTCTACATCCAATAATTGTGAGTCAGCTGTGGGTGCTTTACGGCCGGGCCTCTGTTCGCATCAAAAGAAAACGCTCAATGTCAGCTGTTCTTTTCAATGCGCAATTTAAACGCACCGTTAGGCGTGGACGCGCTCGCGCACGCTTGGCCTCCGGTTCTTCTGTACGCGTTCCCACCCCTGGCTCTGATACCCCCAACTCTGGCCAGAGTGAGAGAACAACGCCACACACTGATAATAGCTCCACACTGGCCTGCAATGTACTGGCTGGCGGAGATATATCAGCTGCTGTGCGGGCAGCCGTGGCAGCTCCCGCTACGCAGGGACATACTGTCTCAGGCGGGGGGGACGATTTTTCACCCACACCCAGAGCGCTTGGCACTATGGGCCTGGCCCGTGAGTGGTATAACCTGAATACAGTGGGACTCCCTCAGAAGGTGATAAACACTATTCAGAGTGCAAGAGCTTCCTCCACCAGGTCCCTCTATGACTGTAAGTGGAGGGTGTTTGAGGAGTGGTGCCTTCAAAAAGGACACATCTCTTTTCAATGTCCTGTCGGGGTGATTCTATCATTTCTACAGGACCTGATTAATAAACACATAGCTTTCTCTACGATCAAAGTGTACCTGGCTGCTATTGCTGCATGCCATGTGGGCTTTGAGGGAAAGACGGCTAGCCTACATCCCTTGGTCTGCCGTTTTATGAAAGGGGCTCGCAGGCTCCTCCCTGTTTCCAGGTCACTGGTGCCCTTATGGGACTTGGCAGTGGTTTTAGATGGGCTCACTCGACCTCCATTTGAACCCCCGGAAGAAGCTGACATGAAACACCTGTCACTGAAGACAGTGTTGTTACTGGCTCTGGCATCTGCCAAGCGAGTCAGTGACATTCATGCGCTCTCTGTACATCCTTCATGCACTCAGTTTGCCCCGGGGCAAACGAGAATGTTGCTGAAGCCCAACCCTGCCTTTGTACCTAAGGTGGTTGGCTCATGTACCCCCATTAACATTGAGGCATTTCCTCCGCCGCTGTGTTCCTCTGAGGAACAGCGGCCGAATTTGCTGTGTCCAGTCCGTGCTTTACGCACCTATATGGACAGGTCAAAAGAGTTTCGATGCAATGACCAACTCTTTGTAACCTGGGCTAACCCTCATAAGGGCAAGCCCGTTACCAGGCAACGGCTCTCCCACTGGATTGTGGAAGCGATTGCTCTGGCTTATACGAGTCAGGGTTTGCAGGCACCAACGGGCCTGCGTGCTCATTCTACTCGTGGACTGGCTATATCCTGGGCTTTGTTCAAGGGTGTTTCCATCCAAGACATTTGTGCAGCAGCGAGCTGGTCCTCACCGCTCACTTTTGTCCGCTTTTACAGGCTAGATGTCTCTGCTCCAAGTGTGGCCCGCGCAGTGCTGGGTCCCGTGTTGAGACAGAGTTCTACCTGTTAAGTTCTGGTTGTTTTGGTGATTTTCGAGATAAGCATGTCTAGCAATACGGGAGTTTTAATATCCCATAGTGAGACATCGAACGGAGTGTTATGAATGAGAACTATAGGTTACTTACGTAACCCCAGTTCTCAGAGTAACATGAAGTGAGATGTCTCACCAGACGGCCCTTCTTGCTAAGGCGAAGGGAGAAGAGGTGCTTATTTTGAATGACGCTGCGACGTAGCGCAAGCTACGGGTGGATTCCCTGATGTAGACGTCAAGATCACCAGCCAATCAGGATTGGCGTAATGAGATTGATGCTTCTGTTTGCATACGCGTTGAGGCGCATCCCATAGTGAGACATCTCACTTCATGTTACTGGGGTTACGTAAGTAACCTATAGTTTCCCAGCGGAGTGAAGAAAATACATGAACCTCACGGGAGTCACTCCTCAGTTTATACTGTGTTTTGTTTCATTTCATGTATCATTTAGTTACAAATATGTGATATATCTGAACAACAAAGTGGTCAAAAATCATTTTCTTCATTTATTGTAAACATTTTCATGATCGCTTTTTTCATTTATACATTTTAAGAATGGCGTTTATCTTTTTTGAGAATGAGTTCTTATTTTATTTAATGTATTTGGGTCTAGAACAGATGATACAAATGTTTGTGTGTGTGAAAATAACGGGGACAGGGCTGCTGTCAGACGAACAGCTGTGCGGCGTCATCACAAACGGACGTCGCTTCACGTGACGCTCCGGAGGAAAGGACGTCCCATAGCTCTTAAAACTCATTTCCCTGCTTCTCGTGGTTTCCTTGGCCCTGTCTCAGGTCGACTATTTTCATTTCCTCGCTCCTCGGTCTCACCGGAAGTTGATTTGTCTGCGCCATCTTGAGTACCGTCCCATGGCTCTTATTTCTGCCGGAGGAGCGATAATGGAGGAGCGATAATCGAGGAACCACCAGTCCATCCTCCGATGAAATCCTCAGATACTCGCCCCGCCCCCTTACTTTGTATCGCTCACTGATTGGACGATGCAGTGCATGCACTGATCTCATGCTTCTTGACATGAGAGCAGTACCCCAGCGGAGTGAAGAAAATACATGAAACTCACGAGAGTCACTCCTCAGTTTAAACTGTGTTTTGTTTCAATTAATGTATCATTTAGTTACAAATATGTGATATATCTGAACAACAAAGTGGTCAAAAATCATTTTATTCATTTATTGGAAACATTTTCATGATCGCTTTTTTCGTTTTATATTTTCATTTATTGTCATTTCCATTCAGTCAGTCATTAAGTGCTATTAAAATGTTAATGTGCTACATATCCACACAAACAAACAAAGTGTGCAATCCAATGAATGTTAATCTAACTGGGTTTTGATAGATAACATATCTCTTTTTCTTCTCTCAATTATTTTATTTCTATTGTGCACTCTAATCAATATTAATCAAACTATTGTTCGCTTATACATTTTAAGAATGGTGTTTATCTTTTTTGAGAATGAGTTCTTATTTGATTTTATTTATTGGGGTCTACAACAGATGATACAAATGTTTGTGTCAGTAAATGTGTGGCGCGGGTGTTTGTGAAAATAACGGGGACAGAGCTGCTGTCAGACGAACAGCTGTGCGGCGTCATCACAAACGGACGTCGCTTCACGTGACGCTCCGGAGGAAAGGACGTCCCAGCGCCATAAAGGGCCCTTCTCACTTCGGTTAAATGGAATCCTTGCTTCCCTCACTTGCGTCGTTTCCCTGTGACTAGTCCCTCCCACCAGGGAAGCATGGAGAGACGCAAGGAAACCACGAGAAGCAGGGAAATGAGTTTTAAGAGCAATGGGACGTCCTTTCCTCCGGAGCGTCACGTGAAGCGACGTCCGTTTGTGATGGCGCTGCACAGCTGATCGTCTGACAGCAGCCAGCTCTGTCCCCGTTATTTCCACACACACCCCCGCCTCTGTTAGTACACATTTACTGACACAAACATTTGTATCATCTGTTGTAGACCCAAATAAATAAAATAAAATAAGAACTCATTCTCAAAAAAGATAAACGCCATTCTTAAAATGTATAAATGAACAATAGTTTGATTAATATTGATTAGAGTGCACAAAATAAATAAAAGAATTGAGAGAAGAAAAAGAGATATGTTATCTATCAAAACCCAGTTAGATTAACATTCATTGGATTGCACACTTTGTTTGTTTGTGTGTATATGTAGCACATTAACATTGTAATAGCACTTAATGACTGACTGAATGGAAATGACAATAAATGAAAATGTAAAACGAAAAAAGCGATCATGAAAATGTTTCCAAAAAATTAATAAAATGATTTTTGACCACTTTGTTGTTCAGATATATCACATATTTGTAACTAAATGATACATTAATTGAAACAAAACATGGTATAGACTGAGGAGTGACTCCCGTGAGGTTAATGTATTTTCTTCACTCCGCTGGGAAACTGCTCTCATGTCAAGAAGCATCAAATCAGTGAGCGATACACAGTAATCAATCAATCAATGTTTATTTATATAGCCCAATATCACAAATGTTACATTTGTCTCAGTGGACTTTACAGTTTGTACAAAATATCAGTATGACAATACGACACCCTCTGTCCTTAGACCCTCACATCGTACAAGGAAAAACTTCTGAAGAAAACCCACAGTTAGGGGGGCGGCGCGAGTGTCTGAGGATTTCATCGGAGGATGGTCTGGTGGTTCCTCGATTATAGCTCCTCCATTATCGCTCCTCGCTCCTCCGGCAAAAATAAGGCCATTGGGACGCTACTCAAGATGGCGCAGACAAAACAACTTCCGGTGAGACCGAGACCGAGGAGCGAGGAAATGAAAAATAAGAGAAGTGAGAAGGGCCCAAGGAATCCATTTAACCGAAGTAAGAAGGGCCCACAGAGCCGAGCTTGAATGACACAAGCACACGTGTATTTCCATGCAACTCTCTGATTGGTCTGGTGACTTGCCTCTGTTGCATTCACATGAACACGGGAAATTGCAGTCCTGCTTTCCTCTCTTGTGTCAGGATGAGGTTCACGTAAAGCACGGTTAATGTATTATATTATTGAGGTGTCTCAAATATACGTCAATCAAGTGGCACCTGCTAACGGGGTGGTGGATGATAGGTTTACATCTAAAAACGTATTTTTCAAACATTACTATTTTTATTTTATTTCTTTTGTTACTGTTTTTTTAATGGTCCGCGATCTACCCGCACCACACTCGGTCGATCGCGATCGACTGATTGGTGACCACTGCAGATGCTATCTAGCCTCTGTATTAGTAAACTGCACTGACATAATAACGTGTTCCCTTTTTACAGCTTGACATGGGGATCCCTGCTATGACAAACTGCTGTGACATGCTGGACATGTGCTACGACACTTGCGGCGTAAGCAAGAACGACTGTGATTCCGAGTTTCGCCTGTGTGTGCATGGCATCTGCTCCGACCTAAGGAAGAGTCTGGGCTTTGTGTCCAAGGTGAAAGGTGAGATAACTGCAGATATGTATGCACATTAATATGACCACCAGGGAACCTCTCATGTAAACTGTGAGATATCAAAAAGGAAATTAAACCCATTCCTCCTCCTTTTGTCTATTTCTCTGTCTTTTCTCCTCTAGCCTGTGAATCGATGGCAGACGCCCTGCACAGCACGGTGGGGACTCTGGGATGCAGGCCTTACATGAACAGCCAGAGGGCGGCGTGTGTCTGCGAGGGAGAGGAGAGGGATGAACTGTGACACAGAACACTGTGGACAAAACCCCTGGATGTTTTCATGGACGAATAACTGAGTCACATATTATACGGTGTATTTATAAGCTTCAAAGAAAAGATACTTCACAGCCCTCTCAAGATCCACAGCCTGGGACTTCAAAAAAGGAAAAACAGACAAATGGAGAATGCAAATTAACAGTTTTTTTACAGGTTTTATTCATAAGCAGTACTGACATAATGGTGTCTGGATATGACTTTCCAAATCGTAATTAACTGCGTATGCATATTACTCTCCATACTCCATTTCAAATTAGGCAATTTTTAGGCCTCTATGACCCCATTACCATAAATTACTATGATGACTCCAAACAAAGTGCCTGATGGGAAGGATATTGTAGTGGAGAGACACAATTTATCAACTATGACGCTATGTTGCGTGATGCTATTTATCAAGGTAATCTGCTTTGAGCTTCAGTCAGTGTCAAATGAATGTGATGCCTATTACAGCTGGTGTTTTTTTAATTTAAGTTATTTGCTGGTGTTTTGTTTTGTTTTTATTAATGAATACATGACTAATTGCAGTTCAAATGACGTGATTAACTCTGGATTAATTGTCAGTGATGAAGCGTATGCATCATTTTCAGGCTCGGCACACTGATGCAAAGTGTGCAAATGAGTCAGAATATATCTATCAGAGTTCATGTATTTTTTTAAGTCAGTGATGGTGTGAAATATAAACAACTTCTATAAATCTACAAATGCCTTAAACTGTAATCAAGCCTGAGAAATGCCTCAAAGTGTGACCAAGAAAAACATCATTCATGCTGCAGTTGTTACAAATCAAATGTGGCCCCTTTTCTACATTTCTATTAGAATGAGTTCTAATCAATGTATATATGTATTTAAATAAATAAACTGAAATGGTCAGTTAATCTGCTTTAAAGTGAATGTGACTCTGCATGGTGTTGTTTCTGACTGTGTGTTGATGGTGATATGTTAGCATCACGGATCAGGCAGGATGAAGATGGGGCCTCCACTCAGTGTGTGTTTCTCCTGAGGTTTGGTCCGAGCCTGGCGGCGGACGCGCCCCCGGCAACGCTGAGAGCAGTGGGAGTCCCCCGCCCCGCATACCAACACCTGGCAGTGGAGGAACACTTGCTGCAAACACAGGAGACAAGCTAGTTCAGAATATGCTTAGAGAAGAACAATCAGTCAGTGAAAACAGTCCTTACAGTATAGTGCTACACAGGCATAATACCACACCTACGTGCCAGCTGGCTCCCAGCATGCTTATTTTTTTTACTCACTTTGTTGTCCTTGCCAACGAACTTGAAGACAGGGACCTGGTAGTGCTTTGAGAGCTGGTCCTTTGATGAGTACTGTGTCACAGTTTTATCAGAGATACACCTGATTAAGAGAGGGACAAATATTGAAGCACTGTTGTATTTTTCATATCACCAAAATAGCCGTGCTCTAATGGACTATAGAGTAGCGGTGGAGATTCGGTGTTCCCCGCATAATAAGGCTGTTTTGGCTTTCCCATTTTCCACTTGAAATAATATTTAGTTGCTTTCCACATTAATCAGAGTAAGAGGCCAGTGGCAGTTTTCATTTGACATTTCCTTGTATGGTGGATTCTCCCTGTCCTATAACTGTTGAGCAGCGGATGCTAGCGCTTTGTGGAAACACAGCAGCTCGTCCTGTTTACGTTTATTATAAGGGCCATAAAGGTCACAGGCCCAAATGCATTTCTCATATTAATAGGACAATATAAAACCGAGGGAATATTGCAGTTTTCATTGTGTGCTTGAGCTTTTTAAAGGCAAGTTTATTTATATAGCACCTTTCAACACAAGGCAATTCAAAGTGCTTTACAAAAAACGAAAGACATTAAGAAAATGGCATTTAAAATCAGTCATTAAAAAGAAAAGATAATAAAAGAAACATTAAAAGAAAAAATACATGGATAAAAGTTACAGTGCAGTTTAAGATGTAAATAGTTCAATTAAAAGCAGCGGCAAAAAGAAAAGTCTTTAGTCTGGATTTAAAAGTAGTAAGAGTTGCAGCGGATCTGCAGTTTTCTGGGAGTTTGTTCCAGATATTTGGAGCATAATAACTGAATGCTGCTTTTCCATGTTTAGTTCTGACTCTGGGGACAGAAAGCTGACCAGTCCCTGAAGACCTGAGAGATCTGGATGGTTCATAATTTAGCAGGAGGTCAGAAATGTATTTTGGGCCTAAACCATTCAGTGCTTTATAAACCAGCAGCAGTATTTTTGAAATCTATTCTTTGACACACAGGAAGCCAGTGTAAAGACTTCAGAACAGGAGTGATGTGATCCACTTTCTTAGTGTTAGTGAGGACTCGAGCAGCAGCGTTCTGAATTAGCTGCAGATTTCTAATATATTTTTTAGTGAGACCCTGTGAAGACACCATTGCAGTAGTCGAGTCTACTGAAGATAAAAGCATGGACAAGTTTTTCCAAATCCTGCTGTGACATTAGTCTTTTAATCCTAGATATATTCTTTAGGTGATAGTAGGCTGATTTAGTAACTGTTTTAATGTGACTGTTGAAACTCAGGTCAGAGTCCATGACTACACCTAGATTTCTGGCTTTATCTGTTGTTTTGAACATTGCAGACTGAAGATCAGCGCTAACTTTTATACGTTCTACCTTGGCTCCAAAAACCATTACCTCAGTTTTATCTTTGTTTAATTGTAGAAAGTTCTGACACATCCAGTCATTGATTTGTTCAATGCACTTACTCAGTGTTTGAATTGGAGCATAGTCTCCTGGTGAAATTGTTATGTAAATGTGTGTGTCATCCGCATAGCTATGGTAACTTATTTTTGTTGTTTTTCATTATCTGAGCCAGTGGTAGCATGTAGATGTTAACGAGAAGAGGCCCCAAGATGGAGCCTTGAGGTACCCCACATGTCATATTTGTCAACTCAGATGTGTAATTACCTATAGAAACAACGTTTTTTCTGTCCTTTAAGTAGGATTCAAACCAATTTCAGAACTGTTTCCGAAAGTCCCACCCAGTTTTCTAGTCGGTCGAGTAATATGTTGTGGTCAACAGTGTCAAACGCAGCACTGAGATCTAATAATACTAACACTGAAGTTCTGCCACTGTCTGTGTTTAAGTGGATGTCATTGAAGACCTTTACAAGAGCAGTCTCAGTGCTGTGGTTTGGACGAAAGCCTGACTGGAACACATCGAAACAACTATTTAAATGCAAGAAATTACTCAACTGTTGAAAAACAACTTTTTCAATGATTTTACCTAGAAATTGCAGGTTTGATATGGGCCTGTAATTGTTCATTACTGAAGCATCTAGATTATTCTTTTTTAAGAGCGGTTTAATGACTGCAGTTTTCAGGGCCTGTGGAAAAATACCTGAGTGAAGAGATTTGTTTACTATATGAAGTAGATCTGAGGCCATGCAACGAAAAACATCTTTGAAAAATCCTGTTGGAATAATATCAAGGCAGCAGGAGGAGGATTTCAGAAGTTGAATAATGTCCTCTAGGTTTTTATCATTAATCTGATGGAATTGTGTCATGGTGTTTGAATTGATATTAGGTGGACATAGAGACAACACATTTGCTGTACCTGATGCAGAGGCACTGACTGCTTGTCTGATTTTCTGAATTTTGTCAGTGAAGAAGGAGGCAAAATCATTGCATGCCCTGGTGGATAGAAATTCAGAGGCTACTGACACTGGGGGGTTAGTTAGTCTGTCGACGGTAGCAAACAAGGCACGTGCATTGTTTTTGTTTTTGGTAATGATGTCAGAGAAGAACGATTGTCGTGCGTTTTTCAATTCCAAATTATAAAGGCCAAGTCTTTCTTTATAGATTTCAAAGTGAACCTGGAGATTTGTTTTTCGCCACCTACGTTCAGTTTTTCGACACTCTCTTTTTTCTGCTCTCACGGTCATGGCCTTTCTCCATGGAGATATTTTCTTCCCAGTCACTTCCTTTACCTAACATTTTTAATTTTTGAATTAAAATGATCTACTAGCTCTTTTACTGAGATTTTAGTACGGGCAAGTGTGGAAGAAAAATTCTGAGTAAACATTTCCCTAGTATTTTCAGTTAAATATCGCTTTGTGGTTACCTCTTTTTGAACATTTTTGTGAACAGAAATAGAGCTCTCAAAGAAAACACAGGAATGGTCAGAGAGTGCAACATCAGTCACCACAACCTTAGAGATATTCAGACCCTTTGAGATAATTAAGTTCAGAGTGTGCCCCTTATTGTGCGTGGGCTCCGTCACATGCTGAGTCAGTCCATAGTTATCAAGAACACAAAACAGTTCTTTCACTCCTCTGTCCTGGGGGTTGTCAACATGGATGTTAAAATCACCAACAATGACTAGACGGTCAAAGTCAATACACACTATAGACAGCAGTTCAGTAAAGTCATCAAAAAAGCTTGCACAGTATTTGGGTGGTCTATAGATATTTAGGAACAGAGCTCGAGAGGAGCATTTCAGCTGAAGGGCCACATATTCAAAAGAAGCAAAGTTCCCATAAGATGTCTTCCTGCATTGAAGGGAATCATTGAACAGAATAGCAACTCCACCCCCTTTCTTATGCATTGTTTCCTGACTCATAAAACTAAAGTTGGGAGGGGTTGATTCAATAAGAACAGCTGCACTGTTATTTTGTTCAATCCAAGTTTCCGTTAAAAACATAAAATCAAGATTGTGCTCAGTGATAAAATCATTGATTAAAAATTGTTTTCCTGCCAGAGACCTGACATTTAATAAAGCTAGTTTAAGTTTGTTAGATACACTATCAGTAAGATTTTTTGTGACAAGCTGTGGCTGACATGGAATCACTGCTAAATTTGATAAACTCACACAAACGTTTGAGCACTTCCTGTTTCTAAGCTGATTCACCGCTCTTAATCTATTATCTATCAACACAGATATCGGCAAAGCTACAGGCAGGCAGGGCCCCGGCATGTCCTGGAAAGAGTTGAGAGTGCCATACTCCCTTGAGCCTAGACCCAGCACATATCAGTAAGAGTTTGTTGCGTTTTGTACACACACATCCTTATCAGGCTTCGGAGACTGCAGATGCTTTCTTGAAGGGAGGGGAGGTGGTGTGGTGTTGACGTAGGCACGGTGATGAAGACGGGGGAGATGGTGCGCGTCTCTGCGGTGATTTTGGTGGGCGTCGTTGAGGAGCGGGGGTAAAGGACATGCTGCCAACCCTGCGTATCGCCTTAGTTTGGTCTTTGAACTCCAGGAAGGAATCGGTGTCAACCCTCTGTATCTCCTTTGTGTGTTCAGCACAACCAGGAGGGTGGGCGAGGGTGAAAGGGTGAACGGAGAGAGCTGTGGGGTGAAGGAAGAGTATCCTCAGAGGTGATAGGGGGGGTGAAGGGCGGTGGAGACTCCTCCATTTGTCTCCCATAATCAAGACATTCCTCAGGCGGGTGCAGTGATAGATTTTCAAGGTTTTCTGCGCAATGTGTTGTGTCTTTCTCTTGTTTTGATTCCTCTTGTTGCTTGTCCTTGGCAGAGGGAACAGATTGATGACGTAGGCAGTTGAATACATTAGAGATACACAATTTCACTCCTGACTTGTTCAGACAAACTCCATTTGCCTTAAAAAGATGTCTGCGGTCCCAGAAAAAGTTAAAGTTGTCAATATAATTGACAGAATGGTCAATACAGACAGTTGAAAGCCAGGTATTCAGTGCAAACAATCTGCTGAATCTCTCCACTCCTCTTCTGACTGGCGGTAGAGGGCCACTGATGAACACCTCTGCATTTAGAGAGCTGACAGTTTCCAACAGACATTTAAAGTCTTTTTTCAGTACTTCTGACTGTTGTTTCACAACATCATTTGTTCCAATGTGCAGTACCACATTCTTCACAGTCGGATGTTCAGCCCCAATATGCAGGATCTTCTCAACCAAGTCAGAGACCATATCCTTGGAAAAACAGAGTACTTTGGTGTTGTTCTTACTACACAGACCTTTTACATCTCTTACAGCAGAGTCACCCGCAATCAGAGTTTCAGGCCCATTCGTTAGCTTTCCCTCTAGCCTTTTACTTTTGGAGTAGCTATTGGTCCTTACCCTGCTGTGTGAAGAGGACAGGTTATCCAGGTCATCAGAAAGAGATCTCCGGTTCTGTGTCAGCGGAGCGTATCTGTTCTGGATTGGCACACTCGGTGGTTTAGGAGGATTGTTTGTAATTCTCCCTTTAGCAGCTGTCCACGGCTGTTTCCTAGTAGGAACAGGGGTTGAAGAGGCACTCTTCCTGGGTGATAACAATGCAGGCCAGCCGGTCGCATCACAGATTTCAGAGCGCTGGGCTCTGCCTGTTGTTCGTCCTCCCAAATCCCATGGAAATGATTTACTCTTCGGCCTTGCACCCAGAGAGTTCGAGGGAGGACTACCACTTGTAGATTTATTACCCGGTACACAGCCCTCCTGTTCCTTGGAATCCTTGTAGCTGCTAACTAGCTTTGAGTTAGCATGCCTTTGTCCATTCTTTTGCAACACTGGTAAAGTGGTGTCATTCCAACCTAGTCCATTCACTTCCACGTTAACAATAACTGTCCCAGTGATAGGTTAATGTCCAGGAGCCGCTGCTCGAAGTTTTCAGAAAAGAAAAATAGAAAAACAGCATAAAAAAGTAAGCAGAGGCAAGAGCAAGCAGAAAAGTGTCTGCACTGTAAGAAGGCTACACACTAATCATTACCCACATTACACAACAACATACTTGCTTTTAGTCTGGTGACAATTGTTCATACTGTAGCTGTACCTCTTGGTAAATATTTTTTTATTATATAGTGTTGATTCTCCATCAATAATGCTTTTATTTATGGTCAGCCACAGTGGATTTAATCCTATAGTTAATATAAACAAACCTGTTTTGTATTTTTTAAGGATTTTTTCTTGGAACACATACCCGATAGGCCGATACATGCAAAATGTAAATGTAATTTTGAGTTTGGTCTAGCTTTAATCCTTTATTATTATTATATTTTTTAGCATTAGCTAAACAGAAACCTTTTCTTAAAAAAAGTAGCAGCAGTTCTAGCTTTTATATATACAGTGTATGGTTCTAGCTCTACACCTCTGCAATAAGTGTACAACATCAACGTCCACAATATTTACCCGTCTTTGATGAGGTAATACTTGAGGGCCTGGTCAGCGTTTGGCCCTGGTGTGGCGAAGCAGCTCTCCACCAGTGCAGAGAGGCCCTCCACTCTTTCCCTCGGCTCCACCCCGAAGAACAGGGAGTCGTGCAGGCGGAGCTGGGGCGGGGTTTGGTAGGGCTCCGAGAACTCTGCGCTCTTGAAGAGCTCCAGGGAGAAGGGGAAGACTCCCTTGCTGTGGCCTGCCAGCTCCAGGGCCGAGCTGCGCTGACTGGCCTGGTATCCGTCCGACACTTGGTATTCCCTGGGGAACTCGCAGGTGACCGGGAGCACTAACTTGCTGGTGCGGACAATCAAGTCCCTGCTGCTGCCTGGGCTGTTCCTCGGGAGGCCCGTCACCAGGTTGGTCCCCACAATCTTGTCATCTGTCACCTGGGGGTCAACGTTCAGTTTACAAGTGTTTTAATAGCTTTTTCAGTTTGTGACAACCTCACACAAATCCCATTTAAGGCACAGCACTTTAACATTGTTATAAGAATAAACCCTGAGCCCATTCAGTCTAAAACATTTCATCACAAGGCCTCTGACCTCCACCACCGTGCCGCAGGTCTTGAGGCTGAAGCTGAGGTTTATGTGGGTGCCATTGGAGACACCTCGACAAGACGAGTTGGACAGGGTGAGCTCCAGGCCTTCGACCAGGTCCTTAGGAACTGACACAACTATAGAGCCGGAATCACACTGGACTGGCACTGCAGGAAACAAAACAAACAAAGAGAAAAATATGATTATTATGGTCCAATGAAGTGGCAAAAACGCATGGATACAACAACAAAGAGATTAAAATAATCACTACAATATTTCTGTCAGCTATGTACATGAAAACACTAAGAGAGATAGATTATTGAGAAATGATTGTACATTGATAATGAAAATAATAATTGTTTGCAACCGTAAATTGAACAAAATGTGATCTGAGGGTGTCACCTTTGAGAGATGTTACACTACTTTTAAACATATATATTTATAATAAGCTGTTATTGTTTAATCAGTAAAGAAATCTACAGATAAAGCCATATTAAAAATGACAATTACCTGTCTTGTGCTATCATAAAAGACACTGAAATAAATTGGTATAAAACAACATAATATTGGCAGAATAGTTTCATTTCTCAGTTAAAAGGTCTGTGGATTATTATTCACTGGTTATATAGTTAAGAACCCTTTCCTGACAGATATATAACCCTGCACTGAAATGTTAGAAGTTTGGTTAAAACCTGAGGAAATTCATTTTTTCCAAACTAGAACTTTCTAGAACATCGGTACATGAGACATGTATGACACATATTCATTCTTTCAGAACACTCAACACACAGTTATCTTACTAACTGTGTCTATCCGGGTCTGTAGACTTCTCCTAAAATCACTCAAAGTTACTTAAGATTTCAGATAACCTGCTGTAATACAAAATGGTCTCAAATTATATAATCACATGGTTTCATGTTCATATCTATTAAAAATAAAACCCTATTCCCCTGTAGTGTCTCCCCTGAATACAAGTGTGCATATCAGCTTGTCTTGCTGTCTGATTGGTTATGTAACTCTGCATGCACGTTTGCACACACGCACACACACACACCCTGACATGTGCGTTTAGCCTCCCCCAGCTCCAGCCCTCTGGGACAATGGCACTGATAGGAGTCCAGCAGTGAGGAGCAGCCATGGCTGCAGCCTCCATTGTTAACATGACAGCCGGCTATCTCTGCATGAAGAAAAAAAAGATGAATAACAGTGTGTGGTTCCCATCTCTCCATACTTTAGTGATTGGTGTGTCATATACACTTCAAAACCTGGATGTACCTCTGCAGCTGTGTCCGTCCTTGTCCAGCACACGACCCGGCACACACTCACAGCGTCTGGAGCCTTTGGTGTTCACACACACCTCTGCACAGCCACCGTTGCCCTTCTCACACTCATTTACATCTTTAAAATGGACACACACCACTGTCAGGTATTATTATCACATGAGTCCTGTTTTAATCGACTGAGAACCAGATGGGTGGGGTTTATCACCTTGAGGTAATTCACTTAGTGTTCCTGGGAGAATGATGATAAACCAACTTTAAAGGAGTTTAAAAAGTGAGATGAAACTGTAAGCCTGAGAGACTGGTAAGGAAATAATGATGGGTGAAATCAAATGTGGGAGAGCAAGGGAGTAGGAGAAAAGAGTGGGCTAGGTTGGAGAAATGGTGAAGTCATTTCTGAGACGGGGAAAGGTAGATTTGGTTGATGAGGGAATAATAAGATAATGGGAGTTTTCATGCTGGCTAGGTTCCCACTGCATGCCTGACACCCATCATTAGGTGTACGGACCATCGGACCACACACACACACACACACACACACACACACACACACACACACACACACACACACACACACACACACACACAACACACACACACACACACACACACACACACACACACACACACACACACACACACACACACACACACACACACACACACACACACACACACACACACACACACACACACACACCTCCACATTGAAGAGCAAATCAGCAAATACAAAAAGATCATATCAGACCCATCACATCGTTTAGAATATGTAAATATGTGTAAATAAATATGTAAATATGTACTCTATTAATATGGAAACTAGATAGAATGACTGGGACGTGCTACACTTGGGGAGTGTTTCCCAACCACGGGTACTTAAATCCAGGGGTTACGTGAAAAGATTGTCAAGTAGCTTATGTAATAAAACAGAAATGGATTTTAAACGTCAGCGAGCAGAGAAGTTAAATAAGCTAGCTAAAAGCATCTGGTAAATGTCAAAATGAAGAGCTAAAAGTATGGATAGGTGGTTGAAAAGAGAATACAAATAAGCTGTTAAAGGAGTTATCCAAAGGTTATGGATAAAACTGTGTTAAGTGTTGCTGGTTTAAATGTTAAGAAAATGGAGTGAATTTAATGGAGTTTGCTCAGCTGAACATAATTCCTTCCACTGATGAAGACATGTAGTTAAAAAACATTTACTGAAAGCTACATTTTTCTATCTACAGTATATGACTTACTGTTGGCATAGTCTGGGTATGTGTTAAACTGCATTTCATTATACAGGAACTGCTGGTGCAATGACATCAAAGCAGTAGACCTTTAGTCATATTTGATTTTGTAAAACTACCCTTTAATGTCAAGGATGAACTTTCACTCTAAATTAATTTAAATGATATCCCTCTCAACATGGTGAGTCGGAGGACCAAGTGGTTAAAATCTCAATCTCATTTTTAAAGAATTAGGCTACACCACTTTAATCATTCATGGTGTGTTTTGATGTCTCTGATGGTTCTATCTTATCCCATTAAGTCAAGTAAACATGGAAGTTTGAATAAAAATAGCATAAAAACAGCTTATGTCAAAACAATGTTGTTTTTTTCTCTTGTTATTGTCATCGAACCATTTCCAGTCTATCTGTCTTCCATGTCTCTCACACAACTTATCTTCCCCCTCCCTTCCTCCCCTCTCCGTCCGTCTTACCCAGGCATGTCTGTCTGTCCGGTCCCAGGACAAATCCAGGTGTACAGAGACAGTCAGACTGGGGACATGTGGGACCTACACAGTCCACCTCATCACAGATGTCATAGAAATCTGTGCAACACAAAATAATATCTATTAACACAACAATAGACAAGAAAATGGAAAGTAAGTCTGGTTATTGGATAAGAAAATGACTGTTTGCAAATCACACACTCACGGCCACAGTAAACGTGGAAGCAGACAGAGGGTCTGGGCAGGCGATATACAAAGTACCCTCCGCTGCAGGCCTTCACGTCCACACTGGCATTCCACTGGCAGCAGTTGTCGTTGAAGCTGGCACACACAGGCAGGGTGACGATGCCCTCCTGGGGTTGTGGGTGGCTGCCGTTGAGCCAGATGGGAGCGTGTGTGCCGCAGTGATTCTCAGAGACGCAGAAGGTGGGCATGGCGTCCCCGGCCATACCCGTGAAGCGGTACCATTCTCCAGACACGTGGCTGTCACACAGGGGCCCGCTGGAGGACTGGTTGACGTGGTAGTCTGTGTTCCTCCACGGTTCATTCAGGCTGATGTAGGCAGAGCAAGGGTCCAGGGCTGAGGTGGCAAAGATGAACAAGACTTAGTTGTACGCGAGGCGAAAAAAAGATATGGATTTGATGTAAATGTGTGTTTTAAGAGAATAAGGATGAGCCAGAGACGAGGGTTGGAAAACATTAAGAGTCACTACTCGTGAGTATTTCCATTTTAAGCTACTCTATATTTATTGTCTATCAAATTTCAAAGCTTAGTCAGTTTTTCAGTTTAAGGCCATACATATAAAACATATATTTTTGATGCCTTCAAATGGGTTAAGTAATCCACTAGTACAGTATATGGGTTATATAATTAGCTGCTTACATGTTAATGCTTAAATGACCCATTAACAGCAATATACTGTACAGTAAAGCAGGGCTCGACATTATAAATGACCCGCTGGCCCAGAAGCACTATTTAGACACCCCGGTTCAGCATAACGTAGGGGAGACCAGGGACAGTTGTAACACTTTTTGGGTTTTCCCCAATAAGTAAAAAAACATTTACACTAGGATAGCCATTTTGCTATATTATACATTCTCAATGTGTCAACTACTGAAACAATGTAGTTGACACATGTTACCATAGATATATATAAACACTAGATGGCTCATGGGAGATTTTCCAGCGTAGCTGACCGGCCGCCATCTTGCTACAGTTAACAGTTACTCTGATTCGCGTTATGGTAGCTGTTGTAAGGTGAGTGATCTGCACAAAAATACTCTTAACTCGCTGAAATCTTGACTGATTTACAAACGGTTTGGTTTATTATAAACATTATTAGCATGGCTATGATACAGGATGCTTGGACATGTTGAAATTGCAGCTTTTCTTTGTGTATGTGGTTGTATTTATTAGCTGGCTAATAACAAGAGGCTGTGAGTGAGACCTAGTATTACAAATTTGACCCAGCAACTTTACACCAGTGGGCAGGGCCGCCCCTCCCTACAGGCCAATCACGCAGGCTGCATGGGGCCCCGCCTTGCTCAGGGGGCCCCGCCCAGAGGGCCTCAGCTGCTGTGCGCAGTTCTCCGTTCAGTTCTCCGCGCAGAGTGAGAGTGAGAGGTGACAAGAGGAGCACGTCTGTAACCCGACACCGTTGCAATGAATCGACATCTGACCAATCACGGCTTTGATACGGCCACTAGTGCAGGTGAAGAGATGTCGGTGAAAAGACAGTTTCAGTCCGGCGCAAAAAACAAAACTTGAAGAAACTAGAGCATCACTCGAAGGTGGGTTATTGTATGAGTCAAATGTACAACTTACGAATGTTGTGTAAGTCAAATTGCCAATTGCCATCTTAAAACATCAGCTGCAATTCAGGACATGAAGAAGGCAGTCTCTGCAGAGCATATGGCTAATGGAGATGCAGTTATTTCCAGCATTTTTTATTTACCATTCATTCATTATGTGATGCCTTTTATCTGTTAATGTACAGGAGGAAGAGAGATACACTGTCTGTCTAGTTGGCTTACATAACAGTTAAAGTTTACAGCCTAAAAAACATGGAGCATTTTTTCCCCTTTTATTCATTTTTATGTCAATTTGCACATTTCATGGTGATGCTCAGCCTCTCCCCTTAACTCCTAACAGTCATCATCATGTTAGTCCATGGGCCCATACCTGGATTTCCACTTATCGGTACCACCCAAGGTGGCACATTTTAGTGAAGTGTTTTCAAGTGGCATATATCTATAGATGATATTTTGGTATGATAGACATTCCAGAGTGGTAGCTTAGTCATAGAAATCAGCTATTAATAATAATAATAATAATAATAATTTCAATGTATATAGTGCCTTTCACGAAACCCAAGGACGCTTTACAATGGGAAGTAACAAAACAAAAAGTAATAATAAAGATACATAGGCTGAAGAAAACAAAAACAGGAACAGGTTGCTGAGTACTGTATATTAGTTGAGGCCAAAGGCCTGAGTGAACAGATGGTGTTTGAGGTGTTTTTTGAAGGTGTCCAGAGTGTCTGCATTCCTGATTGCACAGGGGAGAGAATTGAATACAATGACCCGAAGCGCCAAATTCGAAGGCGTAAAATGTGGCTTGAATGTACATATAACTCAAATACCAACATGAAGTCAACCATGTAATGGCTAATGCATTGTTCTTATGGTGTTGTTTAGTTAGACAGGTCATTCTAAAGTAACTTGGACAATATTTTAGCCAAATAAAATGATTATTACTTGAAAAAAAAAACATAAAACATGGAACTGCATAACATAGTTACATGTACATGTCTGTAGTGTCTAGCTTTGACGAGCCAACTAGACAAAGTCAACTATACTACCAGTTTTACATGTAGAACTCCTTCACAAGGTCAAGAAATATTCATGGGGGCAAGTCTAGTTTGATTTACTTACATATTTACCCAGTACTTGAGTATACATCAGTTTATACTCATCGACAGTGACTTGCCATGCACTTCATGGGTACTATACATTCATCTGAAGTTGTACCGGTATGACTATAAAGTCCAGACCATTGCCTAAACAAAACATTGTCAGTTATCTTCATCATCAGTGTCAGACTCGTCCAGTTCCACTGCGACTTCGTCCTCATCTTCACTTCTCTGGTTGGTGCATGTCTGCAGTTTGCACATGTCCGTGCACTTCAGTTGGTTCTCCAGGCACACACAGGCTGGAAGTTTGCAAATATGTGCACACTTGCAGGACATCAGCTGCAATACTGCATCCATTCTATTTCCAGACTGCCATCGTCACCTGTAGTCCAGCCACAGCCCTTGGGGTCTGGCACAACAGGTTCACTCACAAGACAGCGTCACCAAATTGCGGTCTGATAGTTCGCACGGAGGACGTGCATGTGCAAGCAATCCTTGCATGGTGGCAGTTGGCTGGATTCCACCTCTCCCCGTTGTGCACAGAAGAGTTGGTAGCGGAGTTCATTGACATCAGAGGTGGTGGATGAGGATGCATTCAACCGGCAAACAAAGTCCTGCATCTTATCAAATAGGTCAGCAGATACATCCCATGCTTCACCAAGACGCTTGAAGGCCTCCTGGTAGGTCTCATTCTCCTTCAGATGCTTCAGTGCACTTAACTTTCCACGACCAGCGAATGCACTGACCGTGTCACACCCAGTGAGAGCATGTAGTCCAACAAGACCTTGGCAGACTTCCTCGCCCAGGGAGCTCGCTAGTTTACCAATGTCTATGTATCGTGCACGATTCTGTGTACTACACTTCTGATACAGAGGGCAGGCCATCGTCTTGCTGAAGCAAAGGCACAGTATCAGCACATCAGTGTCTTCAGCTGTGATGATTATGGACCCATAACCATCACCTGAAGCATGTCTGGCATGAAGTAGCATGCGCGTATCAGCTTCTTCTTGGGTTGATCTCAGATCTTGGATTTCATGCCAGTGATCCTTGGTGATCAGGTAGCATGCCTCGCCACAGGTCACGTACAGCGACTTGTCCTGGAGCCTCTCTCCAGTAAAGATGCTTCTGCACTTCCTATGGTAGGTGACAGGTGGTATGACATCATCTGGCAAGTCCTTTGCGATGTCTAAGATCGGTGCATGCTGTCTGATTTCTGCTGCTCTCAGCAGGGTTTTCCAGGAACCAATGTCTTTTGGTGATACCAGGGTTGAGTCTTCATCTTGAGATGTGCAATGGATGAGGCACTCCAGGCGTGGCCGCTTTGGTGCCATGCCGCTGGGTCCTGCCTCTGGGACTGAAATATTAACTTAATCTTAACTATACATCTTTACTAAAAATGTATGTCAACATACCGGTACATCAGACGCAGTGTCCGATAACATGTAAAATGGCAATAACATGCGGCCCCAATAACATTATCTGAAAAGCAACAAAATGAGTTTCTTCCCCAAAAATCTGAAAATATATTCCAAATAGAACATACAAAGCTTATATAATATTAATTCAGGCAAGTTTCATTACCATTTTCCACATAGCAGGGACAAACACAGAACATACCGCCAAACTTTGTAAGTGACAAAATGCGTTATTTGATCAATAATGGGGTAGCATGTAACTCCGCTAAGCTACTCAGTTGGAAAGTCTATCATGGCTTAATGTTCTTATATGGACCCTATGAACAAAATGATATTTGGTCTGGCCCATGGACTATGTCAACCACCACACAGAGAAACACTGATATAAATGTGTGTGTAGTTGTTGATACATTGCTGACAGAGGGAACTAGAATACAGATTTAAGAAATATCAGTTTTTGAGCATGTCATAAGCATGTTTTGTCTTGACTATATTACAACTATATTATAATAAAACAATATAGTATTTATATTATTGAATTGATTATGATTATTATTATTAGTAGAAGTAGTTTATTTGCATTAATTATGTTTTTATCTTTTTGAGGCTAGTATTTGGCAGGAAATGCAAAATTCACCTGTAAACGCATACTGAACGACATACATGCACATTTACCATTTACCTCACTGTATAAAAAAGTAACCGTTGATAATAATAATAAACAGGAATTATATTTGCAAAGTAGCCTACTTTGTTTCCAAAAAAAAAAAGTTCACTCCTGTCAGTTGGGGGGGGGGGCCTCATCTCACAATGTCGCTTGGGGCCCCAAGTTGGCCAGGGGCGGCCCTGCCAGTGGGAGAGGCAGAACTGCTCTTTCTTTTCAACATAACTTAAGTTACACATGATTTCTTCCAAGTGGTTTGGCTTGTTAAAAACATCTTGCATTATGATGCTGGCTTTGTGTTTACAGAAGTACCTGACTATGCCGGACTTTTGTGCAGCCTACGGATGCTCTAATCACCGTAGTCTGCAAACAAGAACCCGTGGGATCACCTTTCATGTGTAAGATATTACAATATTATGACTAAAATTAGGATAATCGTTAATTACTTAGTGGATGTATGTACATTACAAGTCCTGCTACACAGGATCAGTGGGGCTATGTGAGATAATAGTATTGCAAGATTGTTGTTGTATTTTTTTCCTTACCCTTAATGTTAAAGGTAAGAAGGGAGGAAAATGTTGACAATAATTTATATATCTGGCTACCTTTCTCATGTTTTTAAGGTTTCCCAAAACCGAAGAGAGGAGGAGGCAGTGGGAACTCGTCCAAAGAAGGGACGGTTTTGTTTCCTGTGACAGGACACTGCTCTGCAGTGAGCACTTCAGGAGTGAGGAATTTGACCGGACAGGGCAGACTAATGGCGAATCGCTACCACTAGGAGTATATATCGCCACCTACTATGTATTTATTAAATCTTCATGTTCCATGAGACGCAGCACTATGTTCCCCACATATGTTTATGTTTGCTCAGTCTAATAAATCCATAACATGGTTGTGAAAGAATACCAAAGCTGAGGCTGGACGATGATTGATTGTTGGTGTGCCATGTGTCACCGTGTGTCTTATTGGTTTTGTGTTATACTGTATTTTATTGTGTGCAGCTGGTCCTTATCTCCAAGACACATTTAAAACAAATAACCTTGAAGCCCCATCTCTCCCCACCTGCTCCTGCTTCCTACATCCCCTCCACACCACACCAAGTTGTTCTTCTTAATAATAATAATAATACATTTATTTTGGGAGGCCGCCTTTCCCAAGGATCCAAGGACACCTTACAGGGGCATAGGGGCAATATAGGGAACAATTTAAACAGTGGATTTTGTGATATATCAGCCGGGGTGAGACAAGACAAACCACAAATGGACTACAGAAGGACACAAAAGGACACATGGTACAGTTTATATTATTCTTGGTCTTTTTTCAATAACATATTTCAAAGGTTCTGGATTTGTTTACAAATCTAGAAACTAAATACAAAACTAGTATAGTAATATGAAGATCTCATGTCAAAAATAATTGTGATACATTAGACAGACTGTGAGCACATTTTATGTTGGTTTGGTTCTTCTGATAAAGGTGTGAATATCTAAATAATATACCAACATATGCTATTGTCATTAGTTGTGTCCCTGTTCTTAAAGCTAAGGCATTGCTAAATTAACAACTCTTGGCTTACAGAGTGGTAACATGAGACCGATTTTTATATATAAAATATAAATGTATTTTAATTTGATAATTTATTTTAAATATTAACAATATAATAAAATAAATGGAAATATATACACCGGCAAATATTTAATATAAATACCTTGTGTGTGTGTGTGTGTGTGTGTGTGTGTGTGTGTGTGTGTGTGTGTGTGTGTGTGTGTGTGTGTGTGTGTATAGCTACTGCTTTATCTGATTAATGTTATTTTCATATGAAAGTCCATGATTATAAGTATGCAGTATCATAACTACATCTTTGATATTTATAAAAAACCAAACCGTTTGAAAATTGGTTGAAAATTGAGCAAGCTATGGTTATTTAAATAGTAAACCATAATGTTATGAATGAGAGAACTCCCTGTAGCAAGATGGCGGCCAAGTGGCAACGTCGGTCTCCATTGGCCAGCAGCGCGGGTGAGTCATCTAGTGTTTATATATATCTATGCATGTTACAACCATAGACTGTATTATATAAATGGATGTAGGGTCCGTGACGTCACCCACCGGATTCTGCAGAGTTGCCGTGAAGCCCTTAGTAGGCGGAGTCGGCCACTAACGGCTCGACTGTGACGTCAGAGTCTAATCCCGCCTGCTCCAAATAAGGGCAAAGAGGCGGAGCCGAGGCGGGACCTGCTGCCTCCGAACTGGAAGTAAACAGAGCTAGCTCAGGCTAAGAAGCTAAGCTAACAAGAAATACATGCATACCAAGTTACTGCTAACAGTGTAGTTCCCCTATATAAACGTTACATTCATAATCAAATGAGACAATCTGCAAGAGAATTAGCTATATGTTCTTAATGCTTGTCATTCACACGTTGAGAAAAGACGGACTCCACCGCCCGGAGCTAACGGAGCCGCAGTGGGCTAGCCCCCTGCGGCTCCGTTAGCTCCGGTGGCCACCACTGGGATAATCGGGTCCCCTATTAACATTTGCTCCCGTTTAGCATTATGGGCGTCATAGCCATAGACTATAAAAGTCTTACCCAAAGCTGAATCATAAACTAAAATGTATATGTATGCATAAAGGGTTACGTCCTTAGCTGGCTAATAAGTAACAAGCTAAGCTACCAAGCACACAAACACCTGCGAACGGGGTTAACATGTATAATATTATAATTTTAGACTTCTTGGAAGTTCTGTTAGTACATTCAAGCGCACAGCACGACATTTTAATTGTCTGGTATTTGTAACAATATTCCCTAAAAGGCACAATCACCACGAACACGGCTAAAGCTAAAGGGTCAAGTACAGTACTATGACTAACTAACGTTGTAGCCTCTATGGTTGTAGCCTAGCAGAGTGGACAAGTTGCTGTTAGCTGACAGTGGCATGTACGTGTCCATCAAAGTGACCACGCCCTAATTTATGCAAGAACTGTAAGACCTAATATAAATAAAAGGGTCGTGTTAGAAAACAGTTCACTCACAGATTCATAATCATGAAGGTGGAATCTAACTATATCGATAATAATATTTATTGCATCCATGGGTAGAAACATGTTTTTTTCTGCTGTAAAGTTGGGCATTTTAACATGGGGGTCTATGGAAATTGCTCCTTTCTGCAGCCAGTCCCTAGCGGCCCATGTATGAACTGCAGTGTGTGGCACTTCCGTATTGGCGTCCCGGCTGTTCCCCAGAGTTTGCCGCTTGGTTACAACCCTGTGTACAGGGACAGTTGTAACACATGCCAGGGAAGGTTGTAACATGTTAATAACGGTTACCTTTTTTTCACATTACATGACAAAAAAGAGGGAAAGCTGTCAAATTCTAAGGCAACAAGATTGTAATGGGGTTTCACACATCCTCCATCAAACAATGAACAATGAACAGAACTTAAAACAGAACACCAGAATTAATCAAATTCACAGTTGTGGCAGGTGTAAAAGTCACTTCCATCTGTATAGATAGCCTATTCTACCTTAATTATGTAGACCTACCTCCTTTGAGCTGAGACCATAGTATAAATCAGCTGCCTAGTCTCTCAAAAGCATCTCTTGCTCTGTTGAGAACACCTTCTGTGTCCAGTAGCTATACTCTTGGGGGTGATTTTGATCCCTGACTCTCCAACCTCAGCCTTTTCTTATGGAACCGGTACAGGGTGATATGGCATATCATGGGACTTTGCCACTGCCCTGACTGATTTGCCCTCCTGAACTTCATTTGAGGCCCTCTGCAGCAGAGGAAGTGGCACTCCCCTGTCTGTCTTCCTCTTTCTGACATTTGGCATACTGTAAACACACGCACACACACTTTACGTAGGCCTACAGTATTTTTATTCTGTTTATTTTTACAGGGACAATGCACACCAATCAACAATATTGATCATTCGAGCAAATGAGCCATCATTGTAAATGTGCCATGTTACAACCGTCCCAGGTGGTCCGTGTTACAACCGTCCCAGGACCACCAGTCATGTTTTCACCCCCTGTGAACCTGCCTGATTGCTAGCTTGACCCATATTTAGCTAGTTAGTTTAGCTTACAAAACAGTGATTCTAATAATATTAGTTTGGATTCCTAGACATTTGACCTCAAGACAGTATCCCAAAAATACATCATATAATTTGTGTTAATGTTTTACCTCAGAAACACACTTTTGCTGATATCTTTCGCGACAGATTTAAACGTGGCTCCTTTTTTTCACAGCAAACTTTCCATCTAACCGAGCATGTGCAGAGTGAGTTTCATCGCTCTAGCTTGTTTGTGATTGGATATATTGAAGGCGTTACAACGGTCCAGTGTTACAACTGTCCCTGGTCTCCCTACTTTCCACTTGCCCGCTCGGGCCACTAAAAACATTGCTTTAAAAAAAAAAAAAAGGTCCTGTGGTATTGATATTTTGACTAGCAATTTTGTTAAATTGTTTCGTTTATTAATGCTACAACATAGCGTTTCGTGAGGCGGTTGTCGTTGATGGGTGAAAAGCAAACAGCTGTTTGCTGCAGAGCGCAGTGCGAGCAGGCTCCCGTGAGCGGGAGCGCGCTCGTTCACTACAGACTCGCCACCTAACCATTCGCCAAAATGTTTTAATACCAGCGGTAACCGGCCAAGCGCCGGGCAAAAAACAATCTTCAAATAAAAGAATGTCACCGGAAGAGTTAAAGGAGGGTGACAGGGAGTAGGAGAAGAAGAGGGTGTGAAAGTTTCAGCCACACTGCTTGATCGATGGAGTTGGCTTCTATAATATGATGCCAATATAAACAAGGTATTTTGTCGGCTCTGTACATCAATGCCGACCTATGCTGACAAGTAAGTGAGAAAATAGTATAAAATATAAAGGTATATTCACTATAGGGAAATATGCCAGCAGTTTAGGAGAATGAAGGTTCTAATAGGCTATAGACATACATGCCTAACTCCTAATGACAGGAAGGCAGAAAGCGCATTATACAAATAGGCCTAATAATACTCATAATAATGATTTTAGCAGAATTTTTTTAATAATGACCACAATATAATTATTTTAATAAACCAAATATGAACAATTGAGGAAAATGAGGAAGAACTGATGGTACAAGTAGAAGTAGTAATGTAGTTTGTGCATAAATTACTATTGCAACAAATGTCTTCACTTTCTTCATTATTAGTCAATTTTATTTGGACGAATGCTCTTGGGCCAGTGGTTACAATGGTGGGGCCAGTGAGTGATAAGTGGAATTTTACCCTTAATGTCTACCCCTGAGTAAAGGCTACATTATAGCGTAGCCTAATAACAACTTTTAGTTTTGATACTGTAATACTAATCTAAAAAATAAAATAAAATCTAAACAAGTTTTGTGAATGCAATGCTAAGTTCTAAACTCTACCTATCAAGTATTACTTTATTCGTGTACGTCCATACAGATATATTTCTATTACTGTTGTAGGTTTGGGGGTTTCTGGTTACAATACAATGGATGAAATTAAAGTGTTGGTGGTAAATGTTACATTAAAAAAAAGGCAATACAAAAATGGCATTCTAGGGTTAAATATGTCCCAAACACAAACATCCCTGTTGTAATCTGGTCAGACACCTTAGTTTAAAGTCCTCCTTTCTATTATTGCTGATGTAATTTTGTTGAAGTGACCTTTAAGAAAGGTTAAAATCACAGCACTGCATCCAATCTATACTGATCACTGCAGCAAACCTGTAACCATGAAGCAGACCTTTGAACCGTCAAGATAAACTGTAACACAGGGTACACAAATAACTCTTTATCCAGTCCTGTCAGTGCTGACTTTTTTCACTAAAGCCAGCTTTGCAGAATCCGAACAACAACTGAATGAGCAGAGTAAACTATCCATCCATCTTCTCCCGCTTATCCGTGATCGGGTCGCGGGGGTAGCAGTTCCAGCAGAGAGCCCCAAACTTTCTTTTCCCTGGCGACATCAACCAGCTCTGACTGGGGGATCCCAAGGCGCTCCCAGGCCAGCGAAGAGATATAATCCCTCCACCTGGTCCTAGGTCTACCCCTTGGTCTCTTCCCAGCTGACTTTCCTAGAGTAAACTAGTGCAGCAAAAACAATCAATAGTCTCTCCCTAGCTCTCTTAATTCCCTCTCAACAGAGTAATTAAGATGAAGACATAAAACAAACAGAAAAGAACAAGAAGATGTGGGCAAAGTGGGCAAGAGAGAGGGAGAGAGAACATGTTAATCACTGAGAATCTGCAGGGTGAAGAAACAGTGGGAGGCAGTAGAGTATCTTTAGTGATAGGCAGGAGCCAGAATATATGACAACTAGCACATAACACTTTACTGGAGCACTAACCACCACTGTAACCAAACTCTAGGCTTTCCAATTTAGTTGGATCGCTTTGGATTGCTACATAAAATATCCATGTTTATGCTTTCCTACCTTGTTTGAAAAGTGCTTTATGTGGGACATCATAAAAGTTGACTAGAGGTTTACAGTAACACTTTCTTATATGTGCTTTCACATTAACCGACTTGCAGTTTAGTTCCTAGAAGCTATAAAGAAATATTTTTGTGAGACACATTTTTCAACCACAAATAATGTCACCACACATCATTTTGACCCTCCATCGACTAATGGACATAGCGTTGTGTCACATACTTGCTGCTCCGATGCAAGCAGAGGGATCCATCCACAGGCCGGGGCTCACTGACAGCATAAACGACCAGTTTTGGAGACTTACGACTGACCAACTGTGTTCCAGCACGAGAAGCCCACAAAGGGCAGTGGACAGAGCTGACTCGGGTGTATGCTAATGGAAGTGTTAAATCTTACATCCAGATGGAGCTTGAATAATTTACTATGGCTATTAAGAGAACAAGGAGGCCAGCCTGACCTTAGTCAGCATACGCCTTCTTTTCCGCACAGATGAAGACTTAGAGCCGACAGTGTCCTTATTGTTCTAATATAATGTGTTAAAGGATGAAGCTGGAGATATTCTATAATTTTTCTCACTGTCTACAAATATAATGGGAAGCCTTGGACAACATTTTAACCCGTAACACTTTAATTCCATGTATTGACTAAGCCTGTTATGTTTTATTCCTGTGTTCTCCCCCAGTATTGTTAAAACAAAATGTTAAACGCATACATGAGCTACACAGGACACTGGACAACACCTTCATTCTTAAATAGAAAATCCACATTTCCAAGACTCCTGCTGTAAATACTCAATAGAGCACCAACTAATATGTGTTAATCCACTTCTGAAAGTAGTCCCAGATAAAAACAATAGTAGCCCTGGTTTGAGTAACATTTGCTAAAAGCTGCAATGCTGACCTGTTATAGGATATTACCTTGTTTTTTTATATTTTCATTAAAGTATATTTGTGACTACTAGCACTTTCAAAGTCTTGCAACTTCAGTAGGAATAAATAGGTTTGGGTTGAGTGTCGTGAAGTTCCAAAGTATTGGATGATGTACTAACACATTGTTGGTTGGTTTTGGTCTTTTTAAGGGTTTTGTTGAAAATAAGAATTTATATATAAAGAGAATATGCAAGTCTTCTCATTTAATCCATTGGGGAAAAGACCATATTTTCCAAAATAAACTCATTTTGGTAAAAAAAATTGAATATTATATTAGAAGATATCTGTTGTTTTGTGAGCAAATAAGAAATGTTACACTTACCTACACCTGCAACGGCAACAACCTCCAGCAGCAGACTGGTAAGCAACCATAAAACCATGATGCGTTTTTTAAATGTTTGCTGAATGATAGTTTGAGTATGCATGTCTGTGTAGCTTTATTGGTTCATCCTCTTATTATAGGCACCTCTTATCTGCATGTGTCATTTTGTCAGTCTGTCTCACCTTGACCTCTAAATCCAGTGACAGGACCATCCTCCCATTGTTTGACACAGTCCTCACATTCTCCTCCCTCCCTCCTTGCACACATGACCTTAAACTACACCAAACATAATCACTTTTTATTTGTTGCTGTCATGCTGTGAAAAAGTGAGATAGTGACTTTTAAACATGTCTTCATATATTTTCTGACTCATCCATCCTGATTTAAAGGACGTGGAAGAACGAGCAATGATCTAATCTGCAGGAGCATTAAACCAATTTAATTAATCTGTTTAGGGTCATGCTGAGGCGCCTTTCACTTGAAGGCGACGGCGAGGTTTGCACACTCTCAGGATTCAGAACAGAGTAGTCTGAGGACACCCTGTGCCAGTAGACTGAATATGTTCTCATTTAGCTTATTACTTGACTACTAGTACTGGCCAGAAAATGACTAAAGCTTGGCCCTTTCCATTAAGAGTCATTTGTCTTATATGTAATCAAATCAATGGGGACATTAATCCAGGAGGCTGTTAGAAGGAATAAGGTGGAACACACTGTACTTTTTATGTGATTAAATAAGTTGGCTTTCTAAATATACTGACAATGTTTATGTTTCTTGTAGTGTGTGTGTGTGTGTGTGTGTGTGTGTGTGTGTGTGTGTGTGTGTGTGTGTGTGTGTGTGTGTGTGTTGCAGTATCAGCGTTTTTTTTGCCACTACTAGAGGAAAGGCATGTGGATGTCAATGTAAACGGTCATTTTGGACCACACTAAAATATGTTAAATCTGAATGGATCTTGTACATTTGTAAACACATATCATGGTCCACAAAGGCTGAAGCCTGTTGCTTTGTTGACCTTTACCTTGCTTCTGGTGCCACCAATAAGGGAACCTTTTGGGCTTAAAGAGAAATGTCATTCAAAATGTGCCGTTTAGTTTTTGATGTTATTATGTCAATACTTTATTCCATCGTTTTAAATATTGTAATACCTAAACACACTGCTGCTCTTGTAACAAGAATTTCACTTTTTTTCAGATCAATAAAGTATCTATCTATCTATCATCTATTTAATTTGGTGGTTGTTCAAGTTGCCCTTAGCACAAATATGAAAACCTTGCTGATTCCCCAACCTTTCATCAAACACCATGATCAGTCAAAATGGATGGCAAGATGGCCAAATTGGTAAAGATTTTACAAGCTACACATTAGCATATAGCTATAGCATGTGCATACAAACTAGTAATGAAAAAAGCATTATTTAAAATGATATTTACCTTTTACTTTACCTTTAGAAGGATCTTAAATCTTCTTTCTCTTTCAATTTGTTTCCTAAAGTTTTATACGTTTCTATTTTCTAGTAACTGTGCGTCACTTACCTATTGTATACAAACAGTGTATTCTCTCAGGTCTATCTCTTAGGATGTCCTGTAGAGGAAGAGCTGGAGGCCAAGGAGATCCGGAGATGGTGGTCAAGACCTTGAGAAGCTGCTTCATGTTAATTCCTGAAATATGACCATTAATCACTTCCAGTGAGAACACCAAAAACGTCAACTGGACCACCGTCTCCAAAAACTGGATAAGGATTTTATTGATAATTGAATTACATTTCTCTTTTATACATATTTCATAAATGATACAGGATTTTACATTTTTCTTTTTTGCCAACATTACAGCATCATGTCAACAGAAGAAAAACAGACAAGAACAACGAAATAAAATTAGAGGTCAGAATGGAGTACAAGTTCATTTCAATCTCATATTCTGCGTCACTCTATAGGCATTTTAAAACATCTTATTGTAAGTGCAGACAAACAAGATATTAAAAACATAACACACTTTGAAAACATAGAATAATAATGTCGCTTTGGAGGAAAAAAGACTGAGGGTGGATGAAAATAACGGGAGAGAGGGACGAGAATGGGAGGTGATCCCCGAAAAAGCCTGACTCTTTCTTTGGACTTAAATCCAGGACGTTAGTAACCGAGGTCATGAGGTCTCCTCCTTTACAGGTGCATCGAGGATGGAGGGTGTTTTATCCTTCCATTTGGGGATCATTAATGCACTCTGAGGGAGGGGTTTATGGGAGTAAATAAGGTGAGGATGGGAGTAGGGTTTGAGCAGTTGGTTGGCTGGGATTTAAGTCAGATTTGGCAGGGCATTTCTAAAGTCGCAGCCCTGTCCACTGCCCTTTATATCTAGGAATCTCTACAAACAACGTTCTTAAATTATCTCTGCAGTTTATTTTTTTTGTTGATAAATCGTCTTTTTTATTTTTCACATAATTTCCCATGTAAACATACATTCATGCAACACCCTCTTTATAATAAAGTTTCCCTATATTTGATATATTTAGCTTTTTAAAAAAGAAATGAGAAAAAAACAAGGCAATAAACGGTGGATGGCGTGATAAAAAGAGGAGGTGATGGTGAGTTGTGTGGAAACCGCAGAGGGGAGGATCGGACTGCAGACAGCGGCTCTCTCACCTGCCACAGTACATCTCCAAGGAAACACCAACGTCACTGTGTGTGTGTGTGTGTGTGTGTGTGTGTGTGTGTGTGTGTGTGTGTGTATGTGTGTGTGTGATGAAGTGGGATGAGGGCGGAATTAATTTTCTACCAGTCAGTGATTAGAGGAAAAGGATTCATGAATGATCTAAACTTTGCCCACAATGCACCAACTTGTCAAGACGTGTATTAAACCGACACATGCATTCACAGGCGCACAATAAAGTTGATTTCCACTCTCAAAAATGTAAATGTGTTCCTTCCTTTGAATAAAGGTGCATTCTAAATGAGAGATTTACTTTCTCAATGATCATATCATTGCTTTTCTACAGATAACTTAATTATTATCTACCTTTTAAATGATTAGTCATCCAAGAGGAACCAATTTCCTTGGAGATAAAACACACACACACACACTAACAGATTTGACCAACTCCTGCCTTGAAATCTGCATGAATAACTTCTGATTTGAGCTAAAATCATGCATTTAATACAAAATCTGCAGTTAAACATGGATCTCTGCAGTAGGATTCAGCCGACTGTCCACACGAGGCACACATGCAGGATGTTCATGTTCAGGGGATGTCAAGTCATTGCTTTTCTGCAGAGGCCATCTACAGCAGTTTTGGGTGAAGTCTTCAGAACAGAAAGCTAAGTAAAGCCAAACAACGGTTTATTCAGTGACCATCCCAAAATGGAAAAAATGTAACATATGGCTTCTGATTCAACCTCAATCAGGGGGGGGTGAGACTTCAGCTAGATGTGGCAAAGAAAAGTGTCCAATTAAGTACAAAATTGCAATAATGCTCCTACACATTCACACATTTCTACTGAGGGCATACCACAGCATGCAGTCTACCCTGCCTTGCCTTCGAGGGAGCAGGGGGGCGTTACAGCAACAGTGGGAGGAGAAAACAAAAAAAAAGCCTCTGTGAATAAATGCCAAAACACTTCTTTTTTTTTTAGATTCAGCCTTCTGTTACTTTGTCTATAAGCTTTGTGAAGGAGAATCCTATACAAATCTTATGTTGAAAAGCACATCACATGCTGCTAAGCTAAAGGCCAGGTCACTGAAAATCTGGAAATGGTCATTTTTCACCTCCAAGAACAAGACTTTGGATTGGAAAAGGAGAAATTATATATATGATATTGTGGGAAAAGGATTGCAGGCGGATTACTCCTGCTGTATAATGAGGCTTTACTTGTTTCTAAAGCCACTCAGTTCATCAGATATACAAGCCTGTGGGTTTCTCTGAGACAATGGTCACTGCACATTTTAACCCCTTCATTAAGCATTTCCGCAGCATTTTTTGTGTTCGTGAGATGATTATAGAGGTCAAGCATGGCATTATCCACATCGACATTCTGCGTTGCTCAAAATCAATTCCGATCAGTCATTTTCACCCTGATTTCAACATAGATTCCCCCCTTTGGTGGCCATGCACAGGAGCCTTACGCCCAACCAAGACGTAGTTACTGTGAAATACATTGTGTATTTGTCAGGACAATATATGAAATAGTTAGTAGTGAATGCATACTTTATACTGCTGTGTGTGTGTGTGTGTGTGTGTGTGTGTGTGTGTGTGTGTGTGTGTGTGTGTGTGTGTGTGTGTGTGTGTGTGTGTGTGTGTGTGTGTGTGTGTGTGTGTGTGTGTGTGTGTGTGTGCGTGCGCTGGACTGTTAGCAGAGGACCTTTCATGGCAGAAGATCTCAAGAGGATGTAAATTAGTTTCTGATTAAATGATGTTTGTAAGAGAGCTCCTCCCCCCACTGAAAAAAACTAGCCTCTGGTCATCTGTTTATTTGATTGTATACATATATATATTTATATTCTTTTCATAACAAATATACTATGGCTTTCAAAATAAAAAGTGCCAAAATATTTTTTTCGGAGTAAAAGAACACACAGTGATGTTGTTGTCGGTAGTACTCTCATACTTGCGCAGACCCGGGCCGCTACAGGACGTCAACAGGAAGAGGAAACGAGGCGTCGTCATGCCTATATCCTGCAAGGAAAGGTCACACTGGGAGGGACAGCTGTCCGTCACCTGGAGAAGGCGGGGCCCAGGGAGGGAGAGGCAGCAGAGTTCAGCCACAGGAAGACGGAGGTCCCCTGGTGGTGCGACTACAGTCAGGACTTCCTTGTAAAACGTGTGGGATAGAGACTCCTGCCCCAACCAAGAGAAGGTGTGTGTGCCGACAGTTTGACTGCAAGAGGAAGCCGGATTAAGCGGGTGTGTCGACCCTCAAATCGGCCAGGGTCGGTGTCCCATTGTACCCTGAAAGTCCCCCACACACACACACTCCACAATCAGCGCCCCTCTGTGTCTAGAGGTGTGATAATGAGTCCTGTTTGCCCCCTGAAGTTCCCTGCAGGCTGTCCCTCCGGAGACTTGAGGCGTATCCATAGTGCCCAGTTTTATTCCTTCATCATCGTTGTCCTTTTCATCATCCTCACCCTTCCTTCGGCTGGGAGAGTTTTTTCAAGTTCCCGGTACTCTCGCCATCCTATCTTTGATTTTTTTTTAGCGGTTATCCTCTTGCAATTCCAACTGGAGTTTTCAGTCAGGAAAGAAAAAAAAGAAAAAAGAAGGGAAAAAAAAGGGGGAAAACTAACTCTCACAGTCGAGAACGGGATGGGGTTATTGGGTGTGGGAGGGATGGGGGAGGAGAGAGTTTGGGGTAAATTGGGAGGGAGGAGGGTGTTGGACGGAAGTGGGAGGAGGAAAAGGAAGTTGCAGGAGCTGAGAGAGGAGGGGAGTCACTCTTCCCATCAATCTTTACTGGAGGTGAGCTGCTGGACTGGGAGCTGGAGCTGGAGCGGGTCCCGAAGACGCTTCAGATCCAACTCCACCTGGGGGGGAGCCGAGGAGAGAAGAAATATGAGTGTGTGGGGAACAGGGATGAAAACATGTCTTTGTACAGCAGTTACAGTATTCAACTGTAAAAATGTGAGAATCCCCAGTGTGACTCATTTTACATCACAAGATATCTAGCAACTGTACCTCAGCAATATCATCCTTCAGCAGGTTGTACTTCTCGATGTCAAAGCGTGTCCTTTTCACCCCCTTGTGGAAGAACAGCAGATACTGTCTGTCTCTAGCGTCGGGGTAAATATACTCCTACAGGTTATGGAGAAGCACAGATAGAGCAGTTTGTAAGAGAAACACGATTATCAGATCATATTGTCCATGTTCTGCTTGCTGTTACTTGGGTCAAATCCCAACACGGAGAAATGCAACATAAAATGGACTCTGTGTCCTTGGGAGTTAGAAGACAGCGGATATTAATGAATGCTTAGTGAAGGGCAACACTGCCACCAGACCAGCCTTGTAAATAGCTAAACATAATACTAATTAATGCAGGGTGCAGCTAAGAGAGAATTTCATTACCGTAATGCTTTGTTCTCTGGTTGCTCAAAGAGTTTCTGCAGAATGCCATAGAAGACAATTTCTCTAAAGGAATCGATAGTGTCACGTTATTTGGAGAGAGAAAAAACAAAACAGAACTGTTCCCACTAGGTTATAAATAGGATTAATGTGGTGATAACCTTACGATGAATCAGCTAAACCTTTAGGAGATGGATTTTTATTAATCCCTCGTGGGGAAATTGTTTCTCTGCATTTGACCCATCCTAGTGTTAGGAGCAGTGTGCTGCCATTTTGAATGGCGCCCGGGGAGCAGTGTAGGGAACGGTGCCTTGCTCAGGGACACCTCGGTAGCACTTAGTCTTGCCGGGACTTGAACTGGTGACCTTCCAGTTGCCAAGCCAAGTCCCTATCGACTTCGCCACCACCGCCCAGAGTGTATTTAGTATACATAATGTCATTAAATACAATTTATATAAGTTCAGATTGCTTTTTTTCATTGGCAAAAGTTAAGAGGAAGCATTACCTTATATTGGAAAAACCTGAGTTACAGACACTTTGGCCTTATTTGCTTTATTATATATTTTAAAGGGGCCCTATTATGCGTTTTTATAGGTTGTAATATAGGTTTTTATGAATGCCTGAAATGCCTCAATTGGAATCCTTTATTTACTTCCCAAACATAGTGGCAGCACTACATAACATTCGCCCTTCAGTTAGCAAGCACTACATCACATTGTACGCGATAGGCTAAGGGGTTGGCCAACTGTTGACCAATCACAACAGAGTCAGCCAGCTAACCAATCAGAGCAGACTGGGCTCTGGTTTCAGACAGAAGGGGAAAAGTAAGGCAAATAAATCACTTTGAACATTAAAGCATGTAAACATGTCAAAGCAGAGGCACAAAATACAATCATGAAACCTAAAGATTAGTAAAGTAGGGCCCCTTTAAATAGAATAGTCTGGATTTTTTAAGTGGGTTTATAGGGTGTACAAAGCCCTTCTAACTAAAGCTCCAAAGCGCACAGAGTACTTGTGCAATCACAATATGTATCTCCTTGCAGAACATGGCGGTTACTGCAACCATTAGTAAGATTGAGTAATTGTGTGACTTTGGTGAGTTCAAACCAATCCTTTAAATCTACAAAGTAACACAATAAGTAATACTACGCCTATGGACAAACACCTCATACAACCCCAGTTCACAACACCCACATAGCAAACAAGACAATCAATAATAGATTGTTAAGATTGATGTCATCATAACATTCCTCACCCTCACAGCAGCAGAAGATGCAATCAAACTTCACTTCAATCATTAATTATGCATACTGTATATATTGGTGTGTTTGTCTTGTTTATTTCTCACCTGGCGAGTAAGCACGTAGTAGGCGTACATGAACATGGCCGTGCCGTAGGTGATAAAGTAGGTGACGGGCTCCATGATATCCCAGGAGTACTCCCACCAGGTGAGTCGGGCCAGTACACCAAACTGGGTGGCCATGTACGCCATGCCACCCCACATCACCAAGGTGGTACGCCGCTCTGCCTTCCTATTCAGATCCACCCTCATCTGCACAGAAGTCAACAACAAGAAGAACAAAAGAGTCAGCTGGATCAAAAGGAAGTGGAGATGTATTGAAAATGTAGTGAGGAAGAAAGCATTATTGATTTTCAGCTGTAAAAAGAATAGAGGCCCAAGGCAGCCATGATTAGACCCTTCAGAGACCCTTATCCAAAATCAGGTTGGCTCAGCTAGTCAGACTTTGAGTGGTATTCCTTAAAGGCTGATTGGAAAAACGGCCTGATATCTTGAACTAATGCAGATGAGAGGAAATTCAGAGCAGCTCCTTTGGCTTTCACTGAGCAAATTGTTTAATTGCTAAGTCACCTTCAATTATTTAATTAACACTTGGTTGGCTGGTGAAAACCCTTGTGATTATTCATGAGTCTAGTAAAGAGGAGAAATGTACTTGTGTAACCAACAACACAAATATCAGAACAGTTGAACTTGTTAAGGAAGTCAGACCTTCTCTAAGGGGCGGAGTTCAGAGTTGAGGTCCTCAAGTCGTCCAATCAGCTCGCGTTCCTTGCTGAGTTGGTGCTCCTCAATGCGTAGGGTGGTGTAGAGCTGCTGCACCAGAAACTTGACGTCATTCAGCCTCTCTCCCTCTTCGTGGGGTAGTAGCTCTGAAGGAAATGCATTCACATAAACAGGCTTTAATACAACACATCTGATGGCAATAAAACAATTACTCTCCCCTAAATCTCTTTGACAGTCCTCACCTCTCCGTGGTGGTCGCACAAGGTGTGTGGTATCGTTGATGACAAGCTTGAAATCATCCAGCAGCAGGATGTCTATTCCTGTGGAGGAGGCGACCCTCGCTCCATCTGCAGAGAGAGACAAATGTGATGAAGGGGGCGGTGAGAAGAAGGAGCGCTGATGGGTAACCACTTCAAACACCCTCCACGTCTCTTGATAATCAGGCTGTCCGATTATCATGAGTGGAAAGGGAGGGCAGTTACACACTAAAGAGTAAGATCTCAAGTGTGTATATGAACAACCTGCTGGGGTAAATGGATGCAGCAGGAGTGTGTGTGTGTGTGTGTGTGTGTGTGTGCGTACCCGTGGAGTAGATGGCTACACGGTCGATGCCTCTGTCCTCGGCCTGGAGCTGTTGCAGGAAAACTCCCACACTGTCGCTGAGAGGCTTGAGGGTGAACTGACAGCGCTCTCGCCGGGACGGCAAACTGACTGAGATCACCGGCAGCCCATTCTGATACACCACTGTCACCTCTTTGAGGGGGGGGGGGGCACGCAAGAACATGACAATTTAAAATGACACCTGAAGGTGCAGATGAGCTATAATGATAACTCTGCTTCTAAACATAACAATGTTCAATGCATTTATTCAACGTAAAATAAATTATGTTAACCTAAATTCCTGTACTATGACCATATCTTTCACACATTGCCACACAATATATATTACTCATATAGGAGTAAAGAAAGCAGAAAATATTCACATTTATAAGCTAGAATCAGATTATTTGGACTTGGAAAATTACTCAAAAACAATAAATTGACAGAATAGTCAGCAATTATTAAAGTTGACATATAATAAACAAATGGATCTATGTTAGTAGCACTTACTGAGATTGTGTTAAATGCATACAGTATCTGCAAACTTATTCAGAATTATTCGTAAATCCTACATAAATCCTGATTCAACAGACTAAATCTCAAACATCAGTGCTCCCACACAATAAACAAAGAAATGCACTGACAGCTGTTTTTGCCAAAAAATAGGCATAATGTCGACTGTCAGTTGTTGAAAATCAATACGGCATAATATTGCTAACCTTTCCCTCATAGAGCTGTTATGTCGATTCCTTGATGCCAACTATTGATATTTGTTGCTCTCATAGGAAGACCTCCAAATGATGCGTATGTGCTGGGACTGACCATCAGGAAGACCCACAATGCATGAAATGTTTTGGTTTTTCATAGCAGCAACACAATAAGAAGAATGAAATGAATGAGTCCCTGGGACTGAACTGAATGTGTTTCCGTTTTAAGTGTGCAGTTCCTTCTGTGCTGTAGCACGACCCTAAGAACTTGTGTTTTATTTTTGAGTTTCTGCTTAGTGGCACTATATTTTTCTGTAATCCAGCTCTTATGGTGCGTAACCAAACTATGGTTATAATGAAGGCACACAGCTGTAGCCATTACCGTGCTGAATAGCCCCAAATGACAGAGCCACGAATCAATGGAGAGGGCTGTGAGTGTGTGTGTGTGTGTGTGTGTGTGTGTGTGTGTGTGTGTGTGTGTGTGTGGTGTGTGTGTGGTGTGTGTGTGTGTGTGTGTGTGTGTGTGTGTGTGTGTGTGTGTGTGTGTGTGTGGTGTGTGTGTGTGTGTGTGTGTGTGGTGTTGTGTGTGTGTGTGTGTGTGTGTGTGTGTGTGTGTGTGTGAGGTAGAGGTAGAGGTGATTTGAGCTGCCTTGTTGCTGCTGCACCCAACAATGTGTTCCTGCGTGCCCACCGCAGTGAATCAGCAGATCTGTGCTTGGGCTCAGAAGGGAATCAGCCGGCAAGGGCCTCTTGACCATGTTCAAAGACGCAGAGATGCAGACATTTTATTTCATCCCACTCCTCTGTTATGGTGACAATTTGAAACCTTGTCCCCAGTGTCACAGCTGCACCTGTTCCCTTTCTCCTCAGGCACACTGCTTAAAGTGTGAAGGTCCTATCCTACATTTATCAAGGAGCACTTTTAAAAACCAGCATGTTCTGCAGTGCTGCCTCCTCCTCTCACCCCCACTTCTCTCCTCCTCCCTCTGGTTAACGCTCTCCATCTCTCCTGCCTCTCACACAGATGAGCAGATGCTACCCCGAGACAGATTCCATATGAATGAGTTCTGGATGTTAATTCCAAACAAGCCTCGGGTCGTTGTCTGATCAATGCGGAATTCTTTTAATAACAGAGCTCATTTATCTCGAGCGAGGAGAAAGAGGCTGGATTTGGGGGAAATCCTTGATATTGCTGGTGTGGACAGAAATAAGGTGGATGAACTAGGATGAGGACTTACCGTCTGGAGTGGCGGAGGAACACAACAGTCTCTGGCCGTGCCATGTGGGGGCGCCCCTCCAAACCTGCAGGCAGAAAGAGAGAAGGGCAGAAAGCTGTTATTTTCCATTTGTACACAGATATTTTATATCTAATGTTAAGTGTGACACTCGGCAACATGACTTTACTCTGTCCCGTTTACTTCTCTGATTCTCAATGTGCAGGACTGACTGTGTATTACGTTACAAAATGGCTTCCCTTTGTGTAAGTTTCTAGAAATGTTCAGACATTCAGGCCCCACCCAAGAAGTGCAGATCCAACTGCAGCTTCTCGGAAATATTTTACAAAGGGGATGACGCATAAAAAAAACCCACGTCTAAATACACCAGTACTCGGGCACAGAAAAACCCCACTTGGAGGAATCCACCACAGTGGGAGACACACTACAGAGAAGGCAGCCAAATGCAGCATGAATGTATCTCAGTATAAATTCTCCAGTTGTGTCACAGCCTGGAGTTAGCGAGTGTGTGAGGGAGGGGGGAGGGAGGAAAGAAGGAATACGAACAGAGGAGCAGAGCTTGGGGAAACCCTCTTTTTTTTCTTCTGTTGCTAGTGTACACCCAGCAAAGTAGGAGTGTCGGCACATGCTTCGAATTACAGGACTCGTCACGTTTTATGCTGAGCGGCGATGAAGCATTATCGTGCTGCCAGATCTCCTCACACTACACAGAAAGATCAGAGATGAGGATATCGAAAAGAAGAAAGAATGCCAGGGGGCGAAAACAGAGATTCATTTTTAGTTATGTGCACAAACGCAGACACAATTTGCTTTTACACCTAAAAAAAAGGATTGGTTTCTCTTCCAATTTGTCGTGGTTTGAGACACCGTAGTTCTGCAAATGAATATGTTAACACATACGTTCTCCTATGAGAGCAGAGCATCAACCACTAAATCACACATTCATTAACCTTTCAATCTCTGGAGGAACAGGGCGTCTTGCACACTGTCAATGCTTTAAAACAGATGGTTAACAGATTTATGACATGCACACAATCTGACTGTCACTCAGTCAAAATCCAATGTTCTTCACTAACATATCCTTTAAGACCCAAGACACTGACAGTTATCCCAGGGGAGAGCAGGTGTACGTATGCGGGATGTGTGCACTGAAGTGTATATGCTGTCACTGCGAACATATGCTCCCTGGAATCAGAGAAGTAAGCAAAACACAAGCTACCTGAATACCTGTCTACCTATCACGGCATTTATTCACTAGGCAGCCAGAAAATGGTGGACCACCGCAGTACAGATGTCCTGTGATACATGCGGCAACAAAGGAAACTCAAGGTGCTATATCCATCGTATGACACATGAGAGGGCACAGTGACTGCATGGACCTCAACAAGTATATCATGTTTCATTGGCGGGTCACATTTCTATAGTATTCTCAAAGCCTTGTATGGTTCATCCTACAATACAGGCAGACAGTGTTCAACTGTATGCAAAATTGACAAAATACGATATGTCAGGGAAATCAAGCATCTACCTGACAAACACAGCCGCCAATCAAACACTCTTGGTTAAAGTCCAGGATTTCGATCAGGGAATGTGTCTGCCAATCATCTCATCTCCGTTGTGGAGGGGTCAATGTTAAGATAAACACAAACAACTGTCCCTTAGAACCATGAAAAATGCTGTGAATTGTCAATAGCTGCCAATGACTGATATGAATTAGTAACGAGGTGCTAACCAGTCTGTTGTCAGCTCTAGATCTTCTTCACTGCTGTTTTCATCATCCTCAATGCAACACTGCCTATGCGCCACACAGAGGCTCAGTGAGGGGCCACAGGCGGAGTGCTTGCTGATATACACATTTGTAGTGTTCTTGCTGCATCAGAAATCAAACGATTCTTGAAAACTTTATTTTCTATTTTTGTAAAAAGCAGAGATTAGAAAATGTGAAAAAAATATCTGCAGCAGTGATGCAGATCCACTTTAAAACCGAGCTCCAGAGATATGTATGTGTCCTCACTTCAGGATTGTTAAACTTGTGTCTTTTCCAAACCATCAGGCCAAAGACGACAGATGTGTGTGTGTGTGTGTGTGTGTGTGTGTGTGTGTGTGTGTGTGTGTGTGTGTGTGTGTGTGTGTTTGTTTGTGTGTGTCCTAAATGAGAATGCTAAATGATGTCCCGTGGCACCAAGCAGAGCCCAAACAGGCTGCTGATCAGATGACATGCTGAGAGAGGCGTTTTGGCCGGTCTGGAATATCTGCACAGTCTGCACTGCTCCGCTCGTTCATTAACTTCAGCTGCTTGAAGCCTGGCGGAAAGATGTCGCCAAAATACCCTCAACATCCCCTCCTCATCCCCACAAATAGGGGGTTGGTTTGCATGTACACCCATTAGCAGAATTACATGTACGTGTGAATGTACCTCTGTGTGCAGGTGGTGTGTGTGTGTTTGTGTCCACCCGTCTGTTCACCAGCCTGTGTGTCAGCGGTAGTTGCAGAACGCTTGAGCGAGACCCCCCCCCCCTCCCCTCCTCCTTCTATTCCTCGGCACACAGCCACTGAAAGGCTGCCTGAAATATTTAACAGCGAAGCAGCAGTCAATAGCACAGCAACCTTGGAATCAATGTCATACGGGGTAAGAGAGGGAGAGAGTAAGAAAACGGGCAATCGACATCGGCTTTGGAAGATGGACAGATGAGCTGCAGGAGTGAAAGAGGTGTGGAGGAGGAGAGGAGAGAGGATGCAAGGATAAATGGAGCGGCAGCAAGGGAGCGATGGAGAGAAATGAAGACTGGAGTAAAACGGTGTGATTCACAAAGTGCATTTCTAACCATGTGCTGCGTACACTGTACCCTGCAGCAGACACAGAAACGTGACTGTACCGTGTGAGTAGTATGGTGGCAAGAAAAGAGAGATGAAGGGAAACAGAGGAAGGGAGGGAGAGATGAGAAGAGAAGAGAGAGTGTGATGAAAAGCAGAGGGAGCGAGGACAGGAGCAGTAGACTTGCTGGGAGGAGAGGAGGGGGGTGGGGGGGGACTGCTGATCACTGCAGTAAAGGAATCCCTCGTCTAGAAAGGGGGGTTGCCCCTCGTATTCACCCACCCTCCCTCCCTCCATCCCTCCCTTACTCACACTGAATCCTGGTGTGCTAGTTTTGATCTACTCTCAATTCTCATCTGCACTGCGCTTTAATTTCCTCTGCATCTCATCATACCACGTGTTTCCTTCAAATAAAAAATGAACAATCCTCCATTTCAAACCCGCTTTCGTACATGCAAAGCCCACGGGGACCCAATAAATCAAACAATATTATCTGTGGGAGAGGAAAATACATTTGATACACTGAGGAAAATATAAAGCTTCTGAGTAGAGGTCCATACTGAGTCCTTCCCTGCTCTCACGTAACGTAGATACAATATGGATCTGCAGTAAAGATAAATCATGCTGAGAGTACAACAACGTAGCAATTGCACAAAGAGGTGCCAGGAAAAAAGAAAATCCACACATCATATAAACCCAGGGAGGGATCGGCACACAACCTTTGAGAGTGAAGCCGCTGCAGCTCTGCCTACTATCAATATCTCCCTATGTGCAAACGTTTCTCTTTGCAGGGTCAAATTCCAGCAACACGACTCAGATCCTTGCTCTCATTTCAGTTCAGATTATGTGTGTGGAGAAATGTGCACAATTTACCAGTCTCCACCTCCTGTTAGCAGAGCAGCTCTCAGTGTGGACTGCCAGTGTTGTTCAGCCAAAGCTAAAAACAAACTGGGTTATTTTAGCACATCTCGGCATGAGTCAAAAATATATGACGTCTTGTTTTTATGTTAGAATTCTCTATTTAGCTAGAACCCACTATGTATACAGTAGATTTTTTCATAGCTATCCCAACGGCCGTGTCACCACCTGTCAATCATCTTAAACTGGATGCTGGTTATATGAAAGATGATATCATACAGTGCTTCTCAAAGTGTGGTCCGCGGACCACTGGTGGTCCGTGAGCGCCCCCTAGTGGTCCGTGAGTATATTGGTAAAATTTCACATTTTAAATAAATACATTTTAAGTTTTTCGCACTCTCGCGGGAATATCTCCGCAATGGAACGAGCTTAAGTTTCACTTTCGATTGCATGATATAGCCCAGATAAGCACCTTCATCACACATGTTGCCACTTGTTTGTACAATTTTCAGGCGATTTGTAAAAAACGATGTGTTTTTGGATATTTGTGGAGTTAGGTGGTCCGCGAGTGTTTTTTTATTGGTTAAGTGGTCCTTGGTATGAAAAAGTTTGAGAAAAACTGTCATACACTAATGTTTTCATAGTCTGTTTGGACATTATGCACATGGAGGACTTTTCAACCTTTAATGCCTTACTTTAAGTTTACTTTTTGTAAACTGTTTATTACTTTTAGGCAGTGGCGAACCGTCAGGGCCTTCAAGGTATTCAGAGAATACCCTGGAACACTCAGATAAAACAAACAAAAAATCGATTTAATTATATAAATAAAATGTATGTAAAATGAATAAATGAGAATTGTATCTGTGTTGTTGATCTGTAATATTACAGTGTTACGTTGATTTGTTTGTCCTTCTCGGACCATGCACTACGCATTTCAGTGGTTTTGTGTTAGAAAAGAAAGAAACCAATCAGATCTTGTTCTGGGTCTCTGGGTAGAATATCCTTCAACCAAGGTATTCTACATCCTTGATAGGATGCCCTGGCCGTTGCACTGAATGAGAAAGTACGTTTGGACTGACAGTTTGATCAACCAATCAAATATTGATTTGTAGCCAATGGGCGTATTCTTTCAGAGTTTCCCTCGGTTCCAGGGTATTCTAGAAGGCCCGCTAGTTAACTGGCTCGAGACCGAGGATCTATGCGACGAAGCAATTCATGCCGTTTTATTGTTTTTAATGTTGAAACGACAAGTGCAACAGGTGAAGATGAAGTTGTTGCGGAATTGTTGTGAGTACCATTTTCAAGACGACAATTCAGTGAAAAGACGGACATTATAATGCCGCGGAGGGGGCGGCGGCGGGTGTGTGTGTGTGTCTACAGAAGGTCCAGTTGTG